TCGGGGGCTCTAACCGCAGTCAGCTACGTGGGAGTCCAGTGACATAATAATTATGCCATCGGCTGGTCCCGATAAATAATTATTGAAGAAAAAAAGAAAAAGGGAAGAAATGAAATGAACATAGCAGGCGCATGTGCATGTATTCCCAAAATCCTGACAGAGGAGAGAAGGAATTACGGCATGACCGTGTCCCACTGAGGGGACCTTTCTCGTCACACTCTCTCACTCGGTCTGCCTCTTCAAAGCCAGGCCAGGGTGAAGTGTTTGATTTCAAGGTGCTCTGGTCCTTCTGGGAGATGCAGAAGTGGGGCCCCCAGCCCAGGCGGTCCTCGGAGTCGCACAGACAGTGGCTAGGAGATCCAGAAGGGGCGATCAGGGTACCGGGAAGGGCAGTGGTGGGAGTCCGGCCTCTGTGGCACGGTGGGTGGTGTACTGAACTGTGGTGCTGGGAGCCACTGGCCTGGCCAGCCGTGGACTCGGGTCCCAACACAGAGGACATGAAACATGCCAGGTGCATGCGCAAATGTGCCCAAGATACCGGCGGGCTGGGGAAGGATTATTGCAGCGAGACCAGGTCCTGCTCGGGGTGCGTCCCTGGCGCGGTCTCTCCCTCCGCACGCGCACCGCCCATGTTTATGTACACTCTGCCATGAAGGAGCTACAGGAAACTACGAAACTTAATAGGGGGCGTAATCTGGGTGCCCTGGGGGTGGCCGCACATGGTGACCCCCTCCCCCATCTCTCCCCACAGGAATTGGTTTACAGAGACATTTGGCAAAGTGAGAGATACATTCAAAGCAACTTTCTCCTGAATACCCGGAGAGCCACAGCCCGGTCGGTGCCCAGGAGTCCTCCATGATGCCCCGGGTCGCCCCTCCCCACCAATAAACATCCTGTAGAGAGTTCTCTCTGTGTGCTTCTTCACCGTGGGGAGGGCTGCGGGAGGCGGGAGCTGCGCCTTAGGGACTCCTGGCAAGGATGCCCATGCCCCGGGCTGAGGAAGTTTTAAGGTCATGAGCTCCAGGGTCTTCACAAGAACCTCGTGGGCTGGGCGCTGCGGCCCAGAGAAGTCACGAGAGCAAGGTCATGCAGCAGGAAGTAGAGGGTAGGTCTGGACCCTTAGCCTGGAGCTGCGTTGCCATACTGCACTCCTGGCTGGGCTTCCCGAGATAAGGAAGCAGGTTTGATTCATCACGGCACGCAGTAGGCCCACATTCAACTAACTGGGTAACTAACGGTGCTATAGAAGAGGGCAAGAGGGAACCACCCTGCAGAGCCCCCAAAGAGACTGACAGGATCCTCCTTCCCAGTCTCAGCTTAGGTGCCTCCTCCTCCAGAAAGCCCTCAAGCCTCAGACAAGATCATGAGCCTTTGTCCCAGTTCTGCCCATTCTGTGTCATCACTGGGTTTAGTGAGCCCCAGGAGAGCAGGGCCAGGGCTATTGTCACCACCATGTTCTCGAGCAGAGTCCAGCATAGAACAAGTTCCAGTGGGTGGTCAAATATTTTTGGTAAAGTCAATGAGTATGCTAAATCCGAATAAAAGTATATCTTAACCCATTGGATTCCTGCAAAGCTAGAAGGTAGTGGGTGTCACTGCTTCTATTTTGCAGCTGAAGAATCAGGCCCAAGTCACTTGCCTCGGGTCGAATGTGGGTACAGCGGGGATATGAACCCAGGCAGGGGGTTCTAGGGCCACGTGCTTTCTCCACTGGCCTCCCTCAGTCACTCTCTGGACATACCTGATGCAGCTGTACGCACATGCCTGGCCCCAGGACTTATTTGCATTATCAAGCATATTAAAAGAGTGGACGAGGGCCAGCAGGTGGTGTGGTGGTTAAAGTGCTAGACTCCCACGTGGCCAACCACAGTTCGAGTCCCAGACCTGGTGGCTGGAATATCACACTGGGCGCCCGTGCATGCATGCCCAAATCCCAGGAGAAGGCTTTTTGGCGTGCTCATCCCCCCACGGGTGATTTCTCACTTTCTCTCTCCCTCTGGCGAGTTCACATGTTCTATAGAAAAAAATTTTAATAATTATTTAATTTATTATAATTTTTTTTACAGGTTTTTGCTATAGGGCGTGTGCTCTCGCCAGAAAGACAGAGAGAGACAGAGAGACAGAAAGTGAGAA